CAATTCCAGCAGAACTGACACCTTCAACAATGCCAGGAGAAATGACACCTTCAATAATACTAGGAGAACTGACACCTTCAACAATACCAGCAGAACTGACACCTTCAACAATACCAGCAGAACTGACACCTTCAACAATACCAGCAGAACTGACACCTTCAACAATACCAGCAGAACTGACACCTTCAACAATACCAGCAGAACTGACACCTTCAACAATACCAGCAGAACTGACACCTTCAACAATACCGGCAGAACTGATACCTTAAACAATAATAGCAGAACTGACACCTTCAACAATACTAGCAGAACTAACACCTTCAACAATACCAGCAGAACTGACACCTTCAACAATACTAGCAGAACTGAAACCTTCAACAATACCAGCAGAACTGACACCTTTAACATTACCAGCAGAACTGACACCTTCAACAATACCAGCAGAACTGGTACCTTCAACAATACTAGCAGAACTGAAACCTTCAACAATACCAGCAGAACTGACACCTTCAACAATACCAGCAGAACTGACACCTTCAATAATACTAGCAGAACTGAAACCTTCAACAATACCAGCAGAACTGACACCTTCAACATTACCAGCAGAACTGACATCTTCAACATTACCAGCAGAACTGACACCTTCAACAATACCAGCAGAACTGACACCTTCAACAATACCAACAGAACTGACACCTTAAACAATACTAGCAGAACTGACACCTTCAACAATTCTAGCAGAACTGACACCTTCAACAATACTAGCAGAACTGACACCTTGAAGAATACCAGCAGAACTGAAACCTTCAACAATACCAGCAGAACTGAAACCTTCAACAATGCCAGCAGAACTGACACCTTCAACAATACCAGCAGAACCGAAACCTTCAACAATACCAGCAGATTTGACACCTTCAACAATTCCAGCAGAACTGACACCTTCAACAATACTAGCAGAACTGACACCTTCAACAATACCAGCAGAACTGACACCTTCAACATTACCAACAGAACTGACACCTTGAAGAATACCAGCAGAACTGAAACCTTCAACAATACCAGCAGAACTGAAACCTTCAACAATGCCAGCGAACTGACACTTCAACAATACCAGCAGAACTGACACTTCAACAATACAGCAGAACTGACACCTTCAATAATACTAGCAGAACTGAAACCTTCAACAATACCAGCAGAACTGACACCTTCAACATTACCAGCAGAACTGACATCTTCAACATTACCAGCAGAACTGACACCTTCAACAATACCAGCAGAACTGACACCTTCAACAATACCAGCAGAACTGACACCTTAAACAATACTAGCAGAACTGACACCTTCAACAATTCTAGCAGAACTGACACCTTCAACAATACTAGCAGAACTGACACCTTGAAGAATACCAGCAGAACTGAAACCTTCAACAATACCAGCAGAACTGAAACCTTCAACAATGCCAGCAGAACTGACACCTTCAACAATACCAGCAGAACCGAAACCTTCAACAATAAAAGCAGATTTGACACCTTCAACAATTCCAGCAGAACTGACACCTTCAACAATACTAGCAGAACTGACACCTTCAACAATACCAGCAGTACTGACACCTTCAACATTACCAGCAGAACTGACACCTTCAACAATACCAGCAGAACTGACACCTTCAACAATACCAGCAGAACTGACACCTTCAACAATACCAGCAGAACTGACACCTTCAACAATACCAGCAGAACTGAAACCTTCAACAATACCAGCAGAACTGAAACCTTCAACAATGCCAGCAGAACTGACACCTTCAACAATACCAGCAGAACTGAAACCTTCAACAATTCCAGCAGAACTGACACCTTCAACAATTCCAGCAGAACTGACACCTTCAACAATACTAGCAGAACTGACACCTTCAACAATACCAGCAGAACTGACACCTTCAACATTACCAGCAGAACTGACACCTTCAACAATACCAGCAGAACTGACACCTTCAACAATTCCAGCAGAACTGACACCTTCAACAATACTAGCAGAACTGACACCTTCAACAATACCAGCAGAACTGACACCTTCAACATTACCAGCAGAACTGACACCTTCAACAATACCAGCAGAACTGACACCTTCAACAATACCAGCAGAACTTACACCTTCAACAATACCAGCAGAACTGACACCTTCAACAATACCAGCAGAACTGAAACCTTCAACAATACCAGCAGAACTGACACCTTCAACAATACCAGCAGAACTGAAACCTTCAACAATACCAGCAGAACTGACACCTTCAACAATTCCAGCAGAAATGACACCTTCAACAATACCAGCAGAACTGACACCTTCAACAATACTAGCAGAACTGAAACCTTCAACAATACCAGCAGAACTGACACCTTCAACAATACCAGCAGAACTGACACCTTCAACAATACCAGCAAAAACTGACACCTTCAACAATTCCAGCAGAACTGACACCTTCAACAATTCCAGCAGAACTGAC